CTCTTTTTCACTGACCTTTATGTAAGAGTAGCAATACAGATACTTTTTATTCAATCGCAGATAAAAATATGAAAAACGAACCGACATTATAAATATCGCTCTTCAAAATACGCACTCACTTCCCCTTTTTTCTATTTCTGTGCTAGTACGTGTCATTCGCCGCAATCTTTCGCGCATTGCGTAAAGTTGTGATAGCTATACAAAATTTCTATGCTGCTTATCGAAGACAAAAAGCGTGCGATTGAGAATTTATATCTCAAGAACAATAAATTATCTATTCTTTATCTCACATCCGTAAGCATTTCTTCTCCGTTATACATCTAGGACGCTACCAGCTCTTGCTAAATTAAGACAAGAAATCATTCTGTATATGCAGTAAAGAAGCTTAAGTTAAGTACGGAATTTATTACACAAACATATATAAATTTTGTTGTAATTATTACCTCTTAATTAAGAATTTTACCAATTTCTTTTACCCTATATTTACCAAACTGCGAATTCAGATAAAGGACTAATAGAATAATCAACACTGATAACAAAATTAAGTGAAGAGAGATGGAATAATGGCTAACGTAAACTGAAGAATATACCTTGAAATATATAAAATACCTTAAATATAAAATGATTTGGAAACGTAAATCACATGAAAGGAAAGCTGGACAGGATGAATCCACTCAAAAGAACGTAAAAATAAAATGTATTTAAAGAATCTTCAAATAAACTGCTTTAAGGTGTTAGTCGCTTCCATTTGTGAATTAAATATGCTAGGAAATCAAAATCATAAAATGTTCACATTTTAAAGAAACATCTGTTTCAAATATACTGCGCAGGTTTTTTCATCTGTTTCAAATATACTGCATATCTAATTAATACATTTACACCCTAAATTGTTTACCAATTAAGTCTTTTCATAATTAATATGTCTACCAGTATGCAAATTACGTAATTTATGATGAACGTTATCAGAAATATGCACAATTTTAACATGTGTGAACTGTATGAAACGAAATTATGCTGTGGTGAAATTTTGCTTTAGGAAAATATTAGCGCTTCCATATCCAAATATTATTAAATTATTTTCATATTAGCCTAATATTTCAAAATGTGGAATTTCTCAACACATGTTAGTTATTATAAATTGGGATTTAGATAGAAGTTGATTTAGCTTCGAACAACTGCAAAATAAATGTTTACGGAGTTGCGTAAAGAATTTTCAAATATTCCTATTAATTGTAAATTAACATCATCAACATTTCCGAAATAGTGTCTTGAATGTGAAAAAAGTGAAACATGTAGAATATTTTAAAATTTCTAAAATTCTTGTAATATTGAACTGCGCTTACTAGTTGTGTATAAATTTTTAACTCAACAGCTGTAATTGTTTTCCCGATGGCTGGCCCAAATCGTCCACAAACGTTAGCCACTGCTAAGGCAAGAAGTGGTGGTCACTTTGTAGAGTCATTAGGATTTATTTGGAAGCCGAAAAGATGAAAAATAGCAAACGCCTTCGCCGGGAATCGAACCGCGGACCTCTGGAATACCGTCCCAGCGTGCTACCGTTTCAACACGAAGGCATGCTAGGGAAGTGGGAAAAATACCTTATAACTTTATTATGAACGCACCTAATAGGTGCTTCCTATGAAAGTGCGGACAAATACAACTATGCCTTCTCCGGGATTCAAACCCGGATCCTTTGATATCGCAATCGGATCTCCTAACCACTATACCGTCTGGGCGGCATGTTGTGAAGTTTCAGCAGCTCAATGTTGGAACAGCATGACTCAATGTTGGGATCTAATAATTCCACTTATGATTATCATCTACCTGCATGCATTCCTTAACTGCTATTATACTGGTACTCCGAACAAACTAAACATGTTTTTACTGATATGTTTCCTGCCTTCTTGAGATTATTTATTATATTTCTGAATTTAATATAATACTGAATTTATTTAATATATTCTTGAATATATTTTTTATCAAGCTTGCTTTGCTCATTTTCAGTAATAAAATAGAATTTATATGTATAAATTCTAAGGGCATTTGACTTGGTTTAGTGCTAATTAATCATTACAACTTAGTATTTTCTAAATACTGTTGTTTTGCAAATTTTATATTTTATCAATATTTTCATCAAAAATTACTTTATTATATGTAAAGAGTAAAATTATGTCAAAAATGTTTTCATAAAAATGTTTTTTTCGCATTTTTTGCTTTATAAAATCTTACCTGAATTTTGTAATTTTTCAAAGCACTCAGTATTTTATTTGGAAGTTATGTGACGAAGAATACAAATGTTACGTGGAAATTGAGGTTGGCTAACTTTGATGGATAGCCTGGAGCTAAGCATACATTTATATATTTAATATTGTTTAACTGTTAAAGTAAATTTCTCATATTACAGTATGACTTATCATTCAAATTCCATTTCAATTTGAGCATAAAGATTCTCTGTAAAGTTTCAAAATGTAAAGGTAATGTATAAATACAGAGTGAATCAAATCTAAGACAAATTAAATGAGAGCCTCGATTCGATTTCTATTTACTCCAATACGCTGTTCTAGGTCTTATGCCTCAGAATACATCGTTCATTTGGCTAATCTATATTAAATGTCATTTATTAAAGACTTAATATTTGATGAGCCATTTTTATATATTTTGAAAGAAACCAGCCTATTGGACAAAAAAATACAGCAGTCTTTCATCTGATATCTGCCAGCTTATTAGCATTTACCATTACTTCATTGGGTACCTAGCCGTAAAGAATTTAATATTTATATATTTGATATCTATGGCTTTTTAAATTAGATGTAATCTTAGAATGTCAAATAGTACAGGACTATAGGCATCAGAAAAAAGTTTTAAAATTTTTAGGCGCACTAAACGAGTCAGCATATGGTGCAATGTAATTTTAATACAGTTTTATATCTACATCTCTCTCTTTCCCTCTATATATATGTAATAATAAAATTCCATAGTCAAGAATACACTTAAATTTCTAACTGTATGTTCTTTTTCATTTATAATGACGACGGTCTCTTATTTGAAAGTACGTGGAATTAAATCCACAGCCCCGTAGTCAAGTTGTTTTTCCCGTCTTTTCTACACGTACAGTTTTACTCCGGATATCTGATTTTGTAACTGCTATTTCTCCTGAATAATAATAAATGGATCCTGTGTTTTTAAACTTATCGTCTGATAATTTAAGCTGCGACTAAAGCTGGTACATCACATATATATATATATATATATATATATATATATATATATATTATATGTATATATAATATATATGTAAGATAAAATATATGAGAAGTAAAATTATAACTTCATTTGCAAAAGACTATTATGTTGTTCATTTTAATTTAAGTAGTCTCCCTTTCTGTCCTTAAAATAGTAACTACTTATGAAATATCTAAATTGTATATTTTCAAATTAATCCATGCTACCACTAAGTGAACAATATTTCAATTTTTTTTTTTTAATCCAACTCTCTCCCAGCCTTTCTTCTGAATACGTTGTAGTTTTCTGCTTGCTTGCTTCCAGCTAATGCGTAGCTACTCACTTCTCTTTATGTCTTTATGTATTTCTTTTATGTATTTGCCTTAAGATATAGTTAATTTCCAAAAACGTTAAGAAGACTGGGCCAGATTTCTCTCATGATGTATGAATCAGAATATGCTTCTTCTCATCCAGAAAGAAAGTGTGCTGAAGAGTCACAATTGCTGCGTCTGATTGAAACTATGGTATTACGCACTCTATACTCCAGCGCCATCTTCAACCATGGCGCATGATTCAAATTTTTGTGTCTTTTCTCGCATTATTATACCCACATACTCACATATATCCTCCACACACACACAGAGAGACATAGAGTCTATCCAGCAATCATTATTTATAGAAAAAGCAATTCCCTATATCATATTTTGATTAACACACTGTGGGCGCAATCTTAACCCAATGTTCTTCACATTGTTAGAAGTTTACTACTTCTTATGATAAATACAATAGAAGGCAGACAGAAGTGTGTCGTTACGCGCTAGCTGGAAGCAAGCAAGCAGAAAAGTGCAACGCATTCAGAAGAAAGCTTGGAAGAGAGTCATAAGGTTATGGTTTCTCAATGTTTTGATTTAAATGCAAATCCTATTCACTAACTGGCTAAAACATATCTGCATTAGCGGCGTTGTGTAAGATTTTATGATATGGATTAATTTCAAATGACGCAGTTAAAATAGATATATTAAAGCAGTAATTAATTTTCGGGCAGAAAAAGAAAATATCGAAATTAAAGGGAAGAATAAAATTGGTTATTATCAACTAGCATTAGAAATTTGCTTCAAATATTTTTCTCTTATATATTATAAAAATAATGAGCAAGCGTTAAGTATGTTGACAGCCAACAATCGAGACAGACAGAGAATCTCACGTGGCCAACGTAAACATTATATTCAGAAGGATCTGGTTAAGTTTTCTTTCAACTAGTTAAATATAAATTTTGATTCCTAAATTTGAAACTGTTACTGGATTATGTAAGCTTCATGGAACGGGGATTAAATTGAAAATAAATAGCCGGTGTAGATTAGTTTATTGTAAGTAGGGGGGAAACAAATTAATAAATGGGTCAAGAAACTAAGAAAAATTAATGGCTGACATTTGAATTACACATTATATTTTTTACCTTATATATGTATAATATAAAAATTCGATTTTATTCAGACTTTTTTCTATCTTATTTCCATTGATTTTGTAAAATTTTAAACAAATTTAATAGTCTGAAATAAATGAAATTTTTAATTTGTTTCTTTTTTAATTTTGTTCTTTCTCTATCATATTATATATATACATATATATATAGTGTGTGTGTGTGTATGAATGCGCGCGTGCCGTTTATGAATGTCTGCTTTAACTTAAGCCTACTCTTTAAAGCAAAATTGAAATTTCTTTAGAAAATAGATATAATATTGAATTTCGCACTTATTAGTATTTTTACATTTTTTTAGGTAATTCAAGCCCCATCGATTTTGGTGATCACTGCCCTGCCGTCATTAAGTAACAGTAAAGAATTTGAATAAAAAATAGAAGAAGAAACTGCTTGTCAATCTTGCACTTGAAACGTAATATTTTCTTAGATAAATAACTTGCAGAACTGTATTTAATTTTTATGGAACTTTATTTCTGAACAATAAATGTATAGATTACTTATATATACAGATACATTTTTTAAAAATAATTTCTTAATTTCCATCTCAAAATTTTCTGATCTTTTGTACTTTATTATTGATTTACGTAATAAAGTAACATGAAACTTCTTTTTCACTTTAACAGAGCAAATCATAGCTGGATGCAATATATGATTCAATTGACAAAGTTGTACTATTAACGTATCAGTGCGTAGCGTATCAGTACGTAACGTATCAGTGCGTATCTACCTCAAATTAATGTTTAAGAAAATAATTTTCAAACGTATTTTATACAAGTATATTAATAAGAGAGTATTAATGTGAAATGAAGGTAAAACGAAATATACTTGAAGATACATAATGTGAAAATATATTACAATTATTCAAAATTTGTAGAGTTTCGTTGTAATAAAATATTTCACTCAAAATTTTAATAGTGAAATTCTAAAACATTTATAAACGTACCAGCTATGACAATTTAATATTTTGAAAACTTTTCCAAAATATTAAATCACGATCTTTGTGCTATTGATGAAAGTATGCAATAATCAGCAACAGTTCTTTTACTGTCACATGTACCAAAAATTTCCAGGTACTTAAAAACCAAACTTGAAGAGAAATAAATCGATGTAAAATTTTAAAATAGGCGAAAGTATAATTAAGGTAGATTTTGAATAAACAGTTTGAGATATAAAGCTGTTTAAGTTCTTTAATTCATTATTTCTTATAGTTAAACATAAAATTCACCCAAAGACAAGCCGTATACAATTCTTTAAAATTAATATATTATGTATTTTATCGTATTAATATTTATCGAACAACCATATAATGCGATATTTCTTTTTTAGTGTAATAACAGAGGATTCCAGACTGGATAAAATTTGATGTAATTTCTTGAAGTCGAAAGCATGCTTCTATTACTCATCTTAAATTGAAAGTAAAGTTCAGTATGGCTCTTCCTGTTCATATACAACCCACGATGGTCTCTGTGGTTTGCTGCTTCAGTCTCCAGAATGTTAATTATACCGATCATCCCCTAAGTTACCCAAACCAAGATGTTTTTGATCCTTTTTTCTCAAGCTTCAACAGCAGTGATTATAGCTGGTTGGGTGACATTGACACTTTGGACTTTACAATCAACGCCACATCTGATCACATGTTCAGGGACACATCATCTCCAAGGCCGTACTACGGCGACCACTTTCGGACATTTCGAAGTCAGTACTTGGCTGTACATGGTTATTTAGGCGTTATAGTTTGCATTTTTGGAATATTCGCCAACGTATTAAACATCATCGTACTGACAAGGAAAGATATGATATCTCCTACTAATGCAATACTTACGGGCTTAGCAGTGGCCGATATGTTGGTCATGGTATCATACCTGCCTTTCTGTATTCATAATTATATCAGAATCAACCAACCACCAGAGCAAAAGTTCTCATACGCATGGGCTGTTTTCACTTTATTCCATGCTCATTTTACCGTAGTTTGCCATACTATATCTACGTGGCTTACAGTAACACTTGCTGTTTGGCGATTTCTTGCAGTCAGTTTTCCAGCTGCCAGCAAAACTTGGTGCAGTATGCCTCGGGCAAAATGTGCAATACTTTGCACATATCTGAACTGTGCGTTATTTTGTCTGCCTGTATACTTGACCTTCACTATCATAGAAGTAGCACATAATGAGAAACTTTTCTATCGTGTTTCCTTCAGTGAAATCGCGCAAAGCAATCACCAAGCTCTGGAGAAAGTAAACTTTTGGATCTTCAGCGTGCTGACTAAGCTGATACCCTGCATAGCACTGACTGGATTAAGTTTGGGGCTTATTAAGGTATTATATGAAGCGAATAAGAGAAAACAGAGATTGAAAAACCGCGTCGAGAACGACAAAACTCATGATAGAACAACGAGAATGCTTCTCGCTATTCTACTTCTCTTTCTTATTACGGAATTTCCTTCAGGAATTGTTGCACTTCTTAGCGGCATCCTAGGAAAGGCGTTCTTTGACAACGTTTACCTCAATCTGGGAGAAGCCGTAGACTTACTAGCTCTAGTAAATAGTGCTATTAACTTCATTCTTTACTGTTCTATGAGTCGACAATTTAGAGATACATTTGCCAGCCTCTTCACTCCAAAAATCGTCTCTAAATGGATGGCTGTGCCAACGGAACCTAACACAACAGTTGATACTACTTGTGTGTGATCAACCACTGGAGTGTGAAATCACTATGGTATAGAGCGCAAAACTATTCAGCAATGCAGTTTTTGAATAATACTGCCACTAGTAGACAGACGCTTATCAAACGTTGATCTCAGCTAAATTTTAGGTAACATCTGATAACTCAAGCTGCAACACTTTGGAACTTTTCAGTATGAAATTTGAATATTATGGGCTGCAAATAATAATAGTGAAATATATGTTACGCTTCTTAAAATTATTTAAAATCAAAATCTATTACATTTTGTAGCAATTGTTACTTAGTGAAGTATCTTGAATTCCACAAACGTAAAAGAAACCTACGTATAAACATGTGATATTTGGTCACAAAATGTGTAATTATGCTATTGGTACTATAAACGTGAATTAGCAATTCGTTATTTCTTCATGCTGCAAAATATAGAATTTTTCCTATATCGGGTTTCGTGGCCCATTTATATCAAAAAAGAGATTCATGACTTAGTTGTATGCTGCTCTGGAAATAATAGTATACACTTTGATTTGCTAAACTTTATAGGAAATGGAAGGTACTTGAGTTATCTATAACTTACTCACACATATATACTCCTAGTTGTTAGTGGTGACTTGTGAAAATATTAACTTTCTAAAGCTACAAGCGCAGGAAGGAAATGTGATTTTATTAGAAATAAAAGCAAAGCAAAAAAACTCAGTTTTGGAAGTGCATTGATTTAAGGGAAAAGAGTAAGAAAAACTATTTCTTGTATTTGACGCAGTTGTGCAGAACATTTCTGGGCTATTACATGAACAAGCACTCATTCGATTATTTTACAAATAATATGACATATCTTCTGAAGTGTCCGTAACTTCCACTATTGGATGATTACTTCGGATTTCTACTAAAACTTACTTTGCACGACAATTATCTACTTTATTTATTTTCTGGGTAACTGCTTATTTAAATATTCAATAGAGCTGCTCTGAATGACGAACTTCAATGAAACTTTTGCCGTTCAATTTATGGTAAGAGTGTAAAACTGAAAACCTTTATCCTATTTTTTTTGTGTGTATTCTTGGTGATTATTTTAATAATTTTCAGTAACATTTATTCAAGTATTGCTTTTAAATTTAAATGTAAATTAACACCAAATGTGCAACAAAAATGTTTAAAACGTTTTACACAAATGTAATATGTTATATCTTAGAAATGAAAGTTTAATTTAATACCTGGTTTCTTTATGTATATGATACGTTATGTACCAAACATTATTTTCCTCTAGTATATTTTATGTCTTTAAAACTAACTGATATTTTTTTCCTTTTTATTCAATAACCAAATATTTTGGTAAGAGTAGGTTTCAAGAGTGAATGAGTGAGAGTTAATTAATTATTCATTAATCTTCTGTATGTTTTACTTTGAATTAAATAAATCGTAAGATTTCAGTGATTCATTATATCAAAATACTTTTTTTAAATTTGGAAAATAAACATCTCAATGTCATTTTCATGTATTAGTATATGAATTTAAGTGTATGTACAGTGCCAAACATAAAAGTCGTTTAGTACAAATGTGCCCTTGTAAAGTTATCGTTACACAAGGTAGTTTCAATCATAAGTACTTCTTCCTATTTAAGTATTTAAATGTGAGTTCTGTTAATAATTTGAAGTAATACTTTGAGATAAGAAACAGGTTTTGTTTTTCTATATAACTTGAAAATTTTAGGAAAAAAAAAATGATTCAGCTAATTCACATGAAAATTTGTCTGCATTTTATTCTCGAAGTTTTCAGACGAGTAAAATTTGTGAACTTAGTTTAAAAACGAACGTAAATACTTGAAACCAGGATCTTTATGTATATGAAAATATGTAAAATACAAGATTCTCTGCAACTAAATCTCTCGGTTCCAACAGTAAATATTCTTTGTAAAAATGTTCCTTCTTATTATTCAAAATATATGATCATTAATATATTTATTATATAAAAATATTACATTTTAATATTGATGGGCTCTATAAGAATGCTTAATTAAATTTAAGTTTCCGGAGAAAATAACTTTCATTTAAAATGTTCGTACTTCTTGAGATACATTTACATAAAATTACTGAAAAACAAAATTGCATCTTTCATTGCTCAGTTTACAATTTAACGATTTTCAGTTACCTACTTATCGATAACATCAAGAATTGAGTATACTTCTCATGACACTTCAAAGACTGTCATTTTCAGAAACGAGGAAAATCTAATTAAAGCGTCCTGTGCAAAATATTGGGGAAAATAACAGAAAATGACGCCAGACACACAAATATAAATATCCCGGAGATTTCACGAAATTAAAGGGGGAAATAGCTTCCTTCCTTTGCTACTGGGGTAATCTAAAAGACATTTCCCTTTTATTATTTTTGAACCGGTTTACATTGCGTAAAAGACAATTTTTGAAAAGGATAATACTAAAATATGCCATATACATTCTGTTTAAGCTTAATTTCTGCTTTAAAATTGCACGTTTTTCAGTGCATTCATACATATGGATTAAGATTAAGATTTTCATACTTTTCAAAAATAAATTTTTCGTATAAATCTGTTCCACAAATAACTTAAATGTTTCATGTTTTATTGACTTAACTGTTGATGATTAAGCTTTACATAGCGCACTTATTAGCTTATAGTAATACAGATTTGCACTATCTGATTCATACAAATAATTTGAAATTGATTTTTACATTTACTTAATTTTTTTTGTCCCTTTTGTAAAAAAAAAAAAAAAGAAGAGCGAAGAAAGAGTGAATATAATTTTAAAAAAATGAATGAAGAGATTAGAAGAACGCTAGTGTTATCTAGAAGTGTCAAGAAAAGACTTTAGTTGTAATTTGGAGAAAATATCAGGTTGAGCCTAACTCTATCAAACATAAATGCTTCTAAGATCTCTAATATAAAACTTTTGATATGAACAAAACCTGTAAAATTATTTACAATTAATTAATTACATTTAATTACATTTAATTAATTAAAGCTGTAACTATTTATATTTAATTATATTTTTAACACGAAGATTTGATATAAAATAATCTGTGCCAAATAATATTTAGTGAAAGAATTATTAAAAAATAGATAATGTCGGAAATTATTTATATTTATACATTTCTTGATATGTTAACATGAATTTGAAAGAATTAATTTTTTTCTTTATTTATGTTCATACAATTTAAAATATTTTCAAAACCAAATGATTTACAATAATAGTTATTGAAATTTATGCAAATATATATGATTAATGAAAATTATTTTGTTATAAGGTTTTTACAAATTTTAAGAACTTCAAACTTTCTAAATGACTACGAAAAAAAGACTGGTAACTATTTTCTATAACTAAGGCTAAACAAGGTAATATTTATATTTTACTGAAAATGTGAATCTTAATCTAGGACTTGAGAAACAAATTACTAAATTAAATAAAATTTTCTGTTGCTTACAGAGATGTTCTAGAACGTAAAATTTCTTAAATTTAATTACATTAATGTGCTTGTGTCCAACTTGAGCCGTTAGCTTTCGGTTTCGCTAAAAACGTTATCTATGGTGTCTTAAATTTTCTTTCTTGAGCAGATCATTTTCGTAATGATCTTTATTATTTAAAAATAAATCTACAAATATATCTAAAAATCTTTATGATTCTAAATTTTTTCCCTTTTACAACTAGAAAGTTACAAATAGTTATCTAAAATATTTGGTGGTTATGTTTATAAAACATTGATATGCTTCATTTATGATGCTAAATATTATTATTTTTGCAAGCAGGAAAACTAATTTTTATTCTTTAAATTATGGTGTATGACAATTGTTTCCCTTAAATATCAAATTTTAAGTTACGATTTTATTCAGAATACATATAACTGGCAAATTTATGAGCCGTCACATAACTGAAGTAAAAACTTTCGATTATAAAACAGTTTAAGCTCTATTATGATATCGTGATACGTCACGCAAACAAAAACTTCCTTAGGGAATACAATATCAACACGGCAATTCAGAACTAAAGCAGAAAAACATCTGATCCTTTTGATAATATTTTACTAATTCTCATATATTTAATATTGTTTTTTGCTAAAACTGGCATTATATTTAATTAGGCCCTTCCCGATATTTAATTTTCACATAATGTTTCAGTTTCTTATTGCATTTACAAGATAAAGCTACTTAATATTTTTTACAAGAAATATCGTCTGCTTTACATTGTTAAATTGATATTTAGTTAAAAGATACTATTGCCAAAAACGGAATTTTGAAATATTTTGAAGTTATATATTCTAGAATATTTTTAACTGACAGTTTATTACATAATCTATTGACACAGATTCAGAACATTACTTTTTGAAATGACTATTTTTAAATATAAATAAACAAGAAGGTGCTATGTAATATATAAAAACCCGTTCTTTGTGAAATATTTATAATTACACACTTTTGTTAAACTTAATATTCCGTTATCTATTTATTTAGCTGGTTTTAAACTCGTATGCTATTTATATAATAATATGAATACATTTAATCAATTATTTATTTATATTTTATCTTTAAAAGTTTTAAATTCTTAAAAAATGGCTTCTCTTTGTCGAAAGGAGACACGTATATTTATATCTAGATCTGTTGAATATAATTTGTGTGCAAAACTCTATATCTCAGTGTAATGTAATGTTATAGTTTAGAAATGATTATAATTCTAACAGATGTTGTAAACGCTATGAAGAAATATCTATGTACTTATGAATATATATTGTACTGTTTTCTGGAATTATATAGTAACCTAAGTAATATTGGTTACATAATTATATGTAGACGTCTATTGAATATTAAGTATTTGACTATTTAATACTAAAAACAGACTAGATTTTATTCATATTATCCAACATAAACTTTCTTTTAGCCACTTTGATAATTAATTATGCAAGGTCTCTCCGGAAAGTAATGCCACCAAATCCACAAATATTACAAAAGCATTTACGTATATAAATATAAGAATAAGAACATCTTACAAGTCTTCAAAATATTGTCCTCGTACTTCGATACGACTTTGGTAATGTGATTTTCAAGTTGCCAAGGCATCCTGGAATCCTCTTCAGGAAGTGCGTTTAAAATCCTTCCACAAGCTTCTTTCACGTCACCAGTATTTCTGTAATGATGACCTTTCAGAGGAGAAACAAAACGAAATCCGTGGAAGCTAAGTCCGCGGAAGGCTAGATGGGTTAGCTTTGTCACGTTAGATTTGGCCGTGTAGCTGGGCATGTCAAATGCAGTGTGGGCTGGCGCGTTGACATGGTGAAGTTCCCAATCTCCATTGATGTCGAGTCTGACAAGACGAATTCTTGTTTTCTGTCACTAAATTAATTCATCGTAACATTTAGAGTTAACGGTTACACCTAGAGGTACAGACTCAAAGTGGACAACTATCCTCCTGATGTCAAGAAAATCAATCAGCATGGTCTTAATTTTATTTTGCCCATTTGAGTCTCCTTGAGGCAGAAAGACGCCGTGGTGTACCACTCGATACTTTCCATCTTCGTTTCCGAGTCGTACTAAAATATCCATACATAATAAGTGATAACCTTGTCCAAAATGTAAGGATCATTTTTACACATTTCCAAAACGTCTTGACAAATTTCTGTTCGGCCAGCGTTTTTGTCGTCAGTCAAAATTCTTGCGAGAAACTTCGCGCCCACTATTCTCGTATGCAAATCCTTGGTCACAATCTCGCATCCGATATTTTTGGAATATTAAACATGTCAGCCACTAAAGGAACATTCATGCAACGGTCTCTTTGCAAACGTTCTGAGTCACATTTTCTTCGTTTGACAAAGCTGATGGGCGTCCAGTACTGGCCCTATCGTTGGTATCTTAACGTCCTTCCAAAAACTATTTGTGGCATATATAGACTTGTATTTATGATAAACACTCATCTCCGAACCCTGCTTAAACACTGAAAACGTTTACGCTGCAAACTTGCCGACTTTAGCGCAACACCCATCATGGAGTATCTTTGTTTCAGTGAGCGCTGCATCGCCACTTGTTCAAGATACGAAATATATGTTTGCAAAATCTTCCTTCCTTTACTTCCTAGAGCTCTAAGATAACTGAGCAAGCACTTACTCTGCATTTGACTTTCACCACCATCGAGCTAGCGTTCCCCGGGGGATAGAGCGCACTGCAACGCACAATCACTTCATAGCAAAATGTACAATATTTCATTTCGTACAGACCTGGTTATTACGCTAACAATACATTTTTTAAATAAAATTACTGTTATAGTCATTTTGTGCGAAGCGCAACGTTAAAAAAATCTGATATTGTATTTAATATTTGCATTTCTTTTTCAGGTCTGGTATGCTAATTCTCTATTATTTTTATTTGATGGATATTTAAATTTGGATCCTGATTTTACAAATATTTCATTAATTCATTCTGTATTTTGTTTCCCATACGTGGGATTTTTAATTTGATTTCATTTTTTATTTATTGCTAAAATTTTAAATGAATTGAGAAAAAAGTATTGCATCCTAGTAATCCTAGGTTTACTGTTTTATTATTATTACTATTGCTGTCTCTATTCTTACTAAATTTTAAAAAAATGAAATTGCATTGCGTCATTACGTTGCTTCGTTTTTAATTTAAATACAATGGAATTCCAAAACATAAGATTTGATAATCAAATCAAATGTATAATAAAATTCACTGAGTGTTTTTACTTCTTATATACTTCTTATATCTTAAGCAAATGAACTGCTGAAATTGAAGAAGTTCTTGTTTTCAGCACCTTAATTAGTAAAGCAATTCCAGTTTTAATTGTTTGTAGAAATACAATTTAATCCTTAAATTGCCCAAACTCAATAAGACTAATTTCAGTTGGTTTAAGAAATATACTGTGATATATTCTTGTAACAGTCATTTAATGTATATTATTAGTGGATGAGAGAAAGAAAAAATGTCATTTTAGGAGAGGAGATATTATTTTTTTTATTATTAATAACTATATACTTTATTCGATTTAATACCTTAAAGAAAACTTCTGAGATCTGAGTTATTTTCATCTACCGTGTTTGGTGTGTACGCAAAACGAAACGTTTCACTGCTTAAGAGAAATATTTGTAACAGTGGATCCAATTAATTAAGTGCATACGTTTTGAATAACCAAGCCTTTTATTTACAATAGATTTATTTAATACAATGCATTTGTTAAATATACAGATAAATCCCCAAGTGGCAACGGTTTATGGTTAAAAAATATCACAGTAATTTTACCTGCCTACCATTTTCCATTGTTCTGTTTTAACACACTCTTATGTAAAAGTTATTTAGCTCTACAAAAACAAACGGATAGAAAAAATGTAATGTTTATTTCAATACCTTAAACCTATTACATGTCACAGGATTATAACAAAATATATTGGGGTTGAATAATATGAAGAAAATGTCCGATAAATATTTACGTGATAATGCTAAGGAAAAATATAGGATTTTTGGTTATGAAAACCTGCAGTGGAGTTCTGTGAGTATACAATATGATAGCATTTGGTGAAAGTCATAAACAACCGCAGCGAATAATCCCAGCATTAAGAATATATATGACCGTCTGAGGTACTTGCACCTATTTACGAAGGCCATAAATGTTTTGGAAAGTGTCATAAAGAGAAAATGAATATCTTCCAAATTTGTTTCAAACATGCTCGAGAGAATCCAAGCCAGGTCTTTTCGTGCCTGTATTCACAGAAAGCAGTGTATTCTCAATGAGATTCATGTCAGATATTTTGGTGGGTAATCTGTAGGAAACAGTGTTTCCGATTTTAAGTAGCTGGCAGTGGGAGCCCTGTAAACTCTTCAGTCCTTTGCCGTAAAGTAAGACATCAGGACTCGGACTACATTGACTGTCCATTTTTTAAACAACATTTTAGCTTCAGTTACTTGTGTAACTCAGACGTTTTATTCTGCTCAGTTTTTAGAATTTATTTCTTCTATCATGAAAAGTGTATGTGTGTGTATGCTTTATATCTTGACACCCTAGGAGATGAACTTTTA